CCCTCATTCTATTTATATAATTAACTTAAATATGAGATATTACAAAGATGCCCTTAGTAGGGCGGCAACTCAAACTAAGTACTTACAATTCTTTTAAAAATAAAAACTAATGGGCCCAAGGCCCAACAACTTCTTAATTTAAAAGAAAACAAACTAAACATAAATCGGCCCACTCAACAAGCACCGTCGCGAAGTAGCATACCAGGTTGGGAACCTAGTTTACTTGAAGCTACAATCATATAAATGGTTCTCTATTGCTCATTGTGCCTGGCATAAACTGTCACCAAGGTATTTTTGGCCCTTTCCGTGTCATAGAACGAATTGGGTCTGTTGCTTATAAGTTGTAGTTACCTCAGTCCTCCTGACTCCATCCTATATTCCATGTCTCCCTCAAGCCCTGCTGTGAAGGAACAGTTGTTGTCAGCTCCACCCTTCCCCACTTTACTGCTGATGGGGAACTTACACTTGAACCGGATCAGATTACAGATTTCAGATGGATTACGAGGGTGCAGAAAATTGTTAAACAAGCCCTGGTCAGGTGGAGTAATCTCCCAGTGGAGGATGATACCTGGGAGGACTATTCTCAGCTGCAGCAGCAGTACCCTCATTTGGACCTTGAGGACAAGGTCAAACTCTAGGGGGGAGGAGATGATAAGAACCCAGCAGATCAGAGCACTCAGGCCCACGAGACCCAAGGTCCTTCCTTACGGAAGCCCACACCTCCACCAATGTGATTCGTTTACACTAGAAGACTACATGAAGAGCACGAGACAAAGGACCAAGAATTGCATGAGCTAGTGCATTGAGGCCATACCTTTACAAGGCCACACGAGTTCGTTATGTAATCAGAAAAAGAATATCCCTACTTCCACTTTTTCCTTCTTCTTCCTTCTCCCCTGTCTCATTTCAGGAGGTCCAGCTCCCTTGAAGAAGCTCAACTATTTCAATTGAGGCTTATCATATTCATTTTGTTTTCACCAAAAAAAATCATGTGTTTGCTAGGAAAAAAACAAGTGCATTTACCCTTTAAGTTCATCATCACTGTTAGGATAAATACTTTTTTTCAATTTTTTTTCTTTTATCTTTTGGTAATTGATGAGTGGGGGAAGAGGATTGAGGGTAGGACAAAGAAGGTTGGGGTCCTGTTTCTCCATGTTTTCTTTTTTTCATGAGGCAGATCAAGTGTACCTAAATTGGTTCTCATGTTTCTCCATATCCCATAACACCTTTTCCCATCTATAAGTTTGAGGCCAACAGAATTCTGCAGCACACAGCAAAGCCAGAAAGCCCATCATCAAGTGAAAGTTAAGATTTGCCAGGGCATCCCACCACATGGCAGAAAATGCCTGCCTTTGGAGAGAAAAGATTAAGATACCTTGGGCCTTAACTTTCTACAGTGGCTTTTTTATTGATGATCTTTTTGTGCTGGTATTCATTATTGCTTTCTTTTTTGCAACTTAATCAATTTACCAATTTATACAGATTATTTTTTGACTGACATGTTCAGATTTTAGAATTTTATCTCCACAAATATTAAACATATCCAACTTGTGAGTGCAGCAAGAGTCTAAAGAGACATCTTTGAACCACAACAAAACAAACCTTTTTGGGGGCCAGCAAAACAGGAAGGAGTTTCTGCTTCTGATTTCGCCTTGATCTTCTATTTCCTCTTATATCAAGAGAAGGTAAAGGAATGTGAGACAGAACAATACCCCCATGTTCTCTTATAAGTGCTTCAAGTTCCCTTTCCTTCTGACTAGAAAATCCTGTCAACAAAAACTCTATGCCTTGAAATATCATTCTGCTTCTGTACTTGATGCGGCAATTTTTCAGACTATTCACTTTTCTAGCTCTAAAATTTAACTGGGAGTTGGAATTTTCCAACCTTTTGCCAAATCTTGTTATTGAACCTGCAAAGATTAAAGCATTAATAATTATCATATGACAACTCCAAATATGAAATTTGTAAGTTGAATAAATGAATCAAAAATCGTAGCTCACAAGTTTGATGGATTGTAGACCTGGGCGGCTCTTGTTATGCTGAAACTTGATTTTGTCCTCTGAGAAACGAACTTTCTTTTTTGGCGGCGGACCTTGATCATCATGAGGGTGTGGTAATGGACTGGATGGCAATTGAGGAAGCAACTTAGTCTTACTTTGATCCTCACAACAAACTAAATTCGTGTTCTTCATCAGTTCTGGTACTAAAAACCTTTCTAAATTCCCTTCTCCAGTAATGTAACTTTCAACAATTTTTGAAGCCCGATGACGACGACGGCTCCCATTATTTAAAATAATAGGTGACCACCTATCCTCTTTCTGATTAACCTGCAACTCATCTCTACTACTTTCAGTTTCTTTGCTAGTGGTCTTTTTAACCATCAATTCTGGGATATGCTTCCCAGTGGCAGAAATTTCACAACCTTCACCAGCAGAACATTTAGATGCAGGATCTAAACATAAGAGTCTAGTTGCCTCGTTACTGGAAGACCTTAAATAATTATCACCTTTTTCAGGGGAAAGAAACCCCAAAGCACCTGCCACTGAAAGTGATTCATTACCGTGAATGTTTTTACTCTTTGAAATGAAATTCTGAGCAGGCACTAACATGCTATAAGCTTTGAGGGAGTTCAACTCCCTCCGACTTGTAGCCCCAGAAATTTTACTATGGATTTTGGGTAGAGTATTATTTTCTGTATTAGCAGATTGTACAGTTGAAGCCAGTGTTCTGGGCAAATTGTCTGTCCCAAGGTCTGATATGGGATTCAAACACTCATCAGTTTCCTCTTCTCTATATTTCTGGTCTGGATATAAAGTATCATTGACATTGTCACAGGAAACACTGCATGGAACAAGGGAACAAATAGGATCTGCCAAGGAAAGACTAGATGATCTCACAATATCTTGAGAAGGTACTATTTCCTCATCTGTTCTATCACATAGATATTCAGAAGGCATGCCTGGCATCAAAGATATACATGTCTCCAGATTCTGTACAAAAGAGTTTTCATCTGGGGCAACATCCGCAGATTCTGAGAGAAAGCTGGTCTCTCCAATGAAGAATTTCCCTGGGCCTTTCCTACTACTTTGGTCCAAGCATGCAAAAACTTCAGCATCCTTCAAGATCCCAGAATTATCAGGCTAACCACATATAAAAAGAATGTTTATCAGATTATTGTTAAATTTGCACACGTAAAAAATGGTTTTCCAGATGGAAGGTCAAGGAACCATCTAATATATATTAAAACAGAGGTCAAGGAGCAAAATAATATCAAAACTTGCCCACTTTTTCAGCTCTGTAGAGGGGAAACATGACCAATCCATGATATCCATCCAACTCTCTGAGCCACACGTGAGTATAGTACTTACATGACTAATAGCCCTATACCCATTCAAAGAAACGACCAGAGGTGTCAATGGGTCACGTTAAACGGTAAACCCAGCTTGAGTGACATTCTGAGCATTATGTCTCTGTCAAATTACACCCCAACTAGTGTCTTGCAACCTTTTGATTTATTACCTGCTGATACATTTCCTTTCGGCTTTGGCATGGATATTTAAAAAGCATTATACAGGGTCAAAACAAGTTGAAAGATGAGGAAGACAAATTAAAATTAATAGGATCCTTATCCCACCTTGATAGTCCAACCACCTAACCAACGGCTTCTGAATTTGTCTGTATCTACATCAGTTATTTCATTTTCTGCAACTATAATACAAATAAAATGTGAAATTTATATAAATATTCATAATTCAAATAAATAAAGACCAGAAAGAGACTAGAAGAAACTTTACCAGCTTTCCCTGATTCTTGAACCCAAGGAGAATCTATACTTGCTTGAGTGTAAAATAAATTTGCATCAGCAATATCAAATTTGACTCCCTGCAAACCAGACCAGCATCAAGTAAACCCATGAAATAGCCCTTCAATACTCCACATTATCTATGATTATTTTCAAGCATTCACTTTGGTATGTCTATGAATGTAATTTTATAACACCATAGTTTCTTGATTTGTTATGATTGAACCCACCATTAAACTAGGTTATACATTCACCCTGAGGATACAACTAAGTAGAGCTCAGGGTCCATTTGGTTCACAGGAATAGGGATCTGGAATCGGAATCAGAATGGCCCATTCCAGTTCCAACCATTTGGTTGGGTGGAATCGAAATCCGAGTCCCATTCCTGGTGGAATGGCATTCCCCCATTTGAGGGAATGACATCCCCCCCCCCGGGAATGAGGATCCCATTCCAGCCTATTCCAATTCCCATCTGAACCAAACAGGCAGAGGAATAGACCATTCCGACTGCAAACCAAACAGACCCTCAGTTCATTAAAAGGGGGGAAATGCCTTACCTGGGCTATTGAAACATTCAAGTTTCTCCAACCACTTCATCCAAGTGGGATTCCCAGTGGAGCTGTATACTTGAAGTCTTTAATCCCAAAGTAGTGCTCTAAATGGATTTGGTGGGGTCAGGATCACGATAGACCCAGTCCCGACTCGACAAGTAAATGTACAGAACCAGTTCCAAACCAGACTATATAGGGTCTATAATCGGGACCATTAGGTCTGACCTGATAAGACATGACTATAATTGACAACTATACTTGTAACCTGTAAGTTAACAAAAAACCTAATTGTTTGATTTGGACATCATAATATGATGATATTACAAGTATCATGACAAAAAAAAATGTATTTTTATTGTGAAAAAGAAAAATAGGTATTAGACTGGGGATATCTTTGTAATATGCCAATATAAATATGCATGATTAATTAATTATATATATAGTCGGTTCAGGTCTCAATCAGTTTGGAACAATCAAAACCGATCTTGAACAAAGCCAGGACATGTAATGCAGACCCAGACACTATATAATTGGGTCCGTTCTTCAGGTCTGCTATCCCAGACAGCCCTATCCCAAAGGCAGGTCTAGACTGAGCTTCTTCTGACATGTAGGGATGATCATTCTTAGCCAACCTGGCCTGGTCCACAATGCTTCATGCTTGGGCCTAGGTTATGTCCAGGCCTAGACCTACATCATTCCCAGCCCCAGAAATTTATAGGCTGGGTCTAGGCCCAATACCTGTTGACCAAGTCCTGGCTTGGATTAAATATAACAATTATTCTATATGCAAGCCAATGAATACTCAGTGCTAAGCCTGCCAGGCCCAGCTCATGAAGTCATGATCACCTCATGCAGAAGTAAGAAATTTGAATGGTGAGTTTTCCAAAACCAATATATCCATAGTCAATGTATCTTCAAGCGTGAAACTTCTATTTTCTAGAAAATCCAACAAAACCAACCTCTTGAACTCTGAACCCCCTGTACTGAACATCAGAATCACATGCATCCTGCTTTCCTGATGCAGGAGTATCTAAAACATGAGAAAAAATCCTCGATGGGCTGCATGCGTCCTTTGTAGCCAAATTGAAGCCACATTGATTATTACAAGAAGAAGAAACCCATTTAACAGATATCCCTACATCCTCAAAAGCATCTTCCATAAAGTCTTCATCCAGATCCAATAGCAGTTCAGTCTCATCCACCCCCTTACTCGAGCAAGTAGAGGCATCATCCAATCCATCCAGAAGCAAGTTTCCGTTCCGTGCTTCCTTCACCCTAAGTGCAACTTCAAGTACAGAATTAGCTGACAAACTTTCTAAAGCTGCACTGTTTTTTACTAGCTCAGATATCACCAGTGCTTCAGAAGCTGCAATGGAGAGTTCAATCGCATCTTCAAAATTAGCAGTTTTAAGGCGTCTGCTGTTAGATTTTTCTTGTTTTTTCCTCCTATTGTTCCTGTTACTTTTTCCAAGGGATTGAATCCTGGAATTCTGTGAATCTCTTGGCTTGGATGTTGAGAGCAACATGTTTACATTTCTGACTTGGCTGCCACTGTTCTCTGGAATGGCTGAAGCTACATTAAGCATTTCCTTGGATAGGATGCTCTCTGTTTTAATAATATCAAGAATTGAACCTGGAGTATGTTGTGAAATACCATCTGAGGAAAGATGTAGATGGAAATGAGGCATCTGTCAAAAGGATAGCATACAACAGGAAGAGCAATTTATGGTTAATAATATGAATGGGCTTCCATAAAAATAAATTTCTCAAGAAATAATTCATCAACTCATATCACACGAGAAAAATAGTAATTGCAAGGATCGCAAGATTACTTCGAGGTCAAAACAAAACTTTTGTGGCTTCACAAATTAGCTTATCCATTTCAGGTTCTTAAGTCTAATCTTGCTTTTCAGACTTCAGACCATTTGGTAAAATTATTATTAAAACCCTCTTATGTCTAATATTGCTGACATGGGTCATTTGCATTCTCAAGAAAATTTACTCTTTTGCCCTTATACTGTTTTGTTCATATTAAAATAATAAAATATTAATAAAAAATATACAGTTAATCAAATATTAATTGTAAGGCAAGCTATGCTGTATGGCATTAACAGAATGGAATGGCGAAACAAGATTCATGTAGCCAACACCATATGATTGGGATAAGGGTTGGATGATGATGATGGCATGTATGTGTGTGTGTTATTTTATATTATATATAAATATCATAAATTTATAATATAATTTATATGGCACTGAACAGAATGAAATCGTGAAACAAGATCCATGTAGGCAACCCCATATAGTTGGGACAAGGCTTAGATGACAACAATGATGATAAATATTACAATATGAGACATACAATGCATATAATATATGTAAAATCCCTATTCGATTCTAGGTTAAAGTAGAGAAGAAGAAGAGAAGAAGAAGGAGGAGAAGAAGGGTTCGGCCAGATTAGGAAAAAATCAGCCCACTTCTAGCCGACCCACTTGTATTTATCTCCAATAACATAGTTACAAGAAAGACCATATTGTCCCTCATAAGTGATGGGGCACATAACTTAAACTTAAATAAAATAGACCTTTCA